CGATTGGACATTCAAGAATCGACCAATGATTGTTTGTTGCTTGTAATATATATTTCCATGATTTTCTGAATAGAATTAACTGTATCCACAGCCCGTCTTGGTTCTACCTGACTTTGCGCTATTCAGTGGGTTTTCAGTCCGATACCGAGTTCGCGCTATTCGATTTCGATTCCTATTCCGAATACTACATTATCACCCACATCCAAATCCAAATCCATATCCACGTCCACATCCACATCATCATCATCATCGCCAAAATCATGATCATCACCGTCATTATCTTCCTCATCATAATCATCAAAATAACCGTGAGACACATCATCACTATCATGATGATAATGATCATCCCCTTCATCAAGATCAAAATTTCATCATCATATTTATCTTGAAAGTCATCGTCATCATCATCATCATCAGCAGCAGCAGTAGTAGCAGCATCAACAACATGATAATTCTTGTTTTTATTTTCCAGCTTAGTTTGACCACTGTTACTTGACTTCTGTTTCCCTCAACCGTGGCGAGGAGATTTACAACCGTTCTTCAAAGTGAAATCTTGTGGTTTAATCAAATGAACATTTATATGGCGATTGTGAAAAGTTCAGTAGCCTCGGTGGGATTCGATTTGCATGGACGCCGCCTATCGGTGTGGCCTCGAAGCTCAGCTGGTACAAAGCGAGTACAAAGCGTAGGCGGCGTCCATGCGTGGGTTCGAATCCCACTGAACTTTTCACAATCGCTATAGAAACTTCAAATCTGCCAAATATCCATTTGCAAAAAATGAACATTTTTTCATCCAAAATTTAATCAGAATTGCAACTTGGCTTCTTAAATCGATTTTTAGGTTTACTTCGAGGCTTTAAGCGATAGATTTCTAAAGGGATTCCAGCAGAAAATTTGGCCTACCAAAGGTACTTTTCGGTTTTTAACACTATCAGTAAATGCTTTCAGAGTGAAATTGTAAAAATCTTCCCTGATTTCAGATTAAATCGTGCAGCTCAACATGAGATAGAGGCTGATTTGAAAAACAAGTTCACGGCACAACAACTGGATGAAACTGCATTGGATATGAAGAACACCTCTGCTGGTGTGCACTATTATGAAGGCGCGGAAAATATCGAACAGTGGTAGGTGCTGATTGTATCGACTCCATTTTCTGTTTTCGTAAATCGAAATGTCAAACCTGGGAAAGAATTTCT